TGTTTTCACTGTAAATATAGAATGCATTTTGGCAAAATGCATTCGATATTTACAAGGAAATGAAGACTCGTATCCCTCTGTAACTGCAAAATGATTTTGCAGTTACAGAGGGATACGGGTCTTTATTGGTATCGAACTTTGATCTGTTGTATCAAACAGAATTGTGTTTTGTTCTCATAATTCTGGATAATGATGGGCAGGGTAGCGTGCGATCGAAATGAACGGTATTTAGTCAACACGAGGGCATCATGTGGCACAAGGCTGGTTTAACGTGGGATCTCCGAGCCCGTGGGATCAGCCAAAAATATGCCCTTTGAACCTGTATAAACGGGTTCAGGGTCGGTTTACCGCCCTGAAAGAGACTCCGCCCTTCGGTGTAGCCTCATTCGGATTCCTCCTCGCCCAAAGGCAGAGAGTTCAGCCAGTCGCTCGACTTCGGACTGAACTCGCGATCGAAATGAATAGATGTAATAAGTTGGAGTGCATACTTATGTAGTGATCAGAAAATAAAAAAGAGCACTATTTCAAAAAAATAAAGTTGGCAAACCATTTTGGATTGCCATAAGGAAAAAAATAAAGAAATAAATAAAAGAGGCCAAAAGGTTTTCCTCAATGTAGGTAAAGAAAAAGTGATTGTCAAACGAGTCATTCATTACTGGAACCAATGAAAAACAATTCAGGGAATGAATTTGATTGTCTTTTTTAAAAGAAAAAAAAAAAAGGATTAACACATAACAAGCAGTGTCTAGTCGCCGAAAAGAATTTCATCTGCTGTCCCTTCCCCCCTCACACTTTGGACACTTAAGTTAAATATCCCACAGAGAGAGTCAAAAGAATTACTATCAAGAAATACTTGCAAACCTACATACACATTAACAAAGAGACTCTCCTCCCTCTCTCCCTATCTCAATATATATGTAAGCAAATATATGGATATAGATCCGACAGTATGAAGAAAAATATACGGAAAAAACAAACAAAAATCCTAATATGCAATTATGCTGTTTTAATGTTGACATTATATTAACAATAAAATAGCATAATTGCATATTAGGATTTTTGTTTGTTTTTCTGTATATTTTTTCATATATATATATATATATATATATATATATATATATATATATATATATATATATATATATGTGCTGTCATAATTTTTCAGCATGAAAACCTGACTAATCACAACAAATTCATTACAGACCGAGAAGTAGCAGCAAATCTTTGGTAACTTTAGCATATAAAAATTAGAAGAGAAGTTAACTTGTGTCATCGACCATCAATTTATAGGACACACTGTGGTTTTTGGAGATATTTTATAGGTAAAAAAATGCGTCTTTGACTTAGATTTTCAACACAATAACTTTTTGATAGGAACTTATGAACACTTTTAATATTATTGTATATTTTATTTTGAGAGATATAAATTTTTATCAGTGCATGCAATATATATCCTTAAAAAAACACACACACAAAAAACATTTATTAAATTTTATAAAAGTTAATGGAGGCGTTCCAGTCTGCTATGTCAATTTATTGTGTAAAGTGATCCGTCTACAGAAGCATATGCTTACAAGGCCTTTTCTAAAAATATAAAAATTTTTTGAAATTCCTAATTCGGAGTGCTTAAGTGCTAGAAAAATGTATGAAAAAGCACACCATATGAAATTCAAAATTTTTTCCAAGTTTTTCTCTTCTTTTGTCAATACCCAGGAATATCTTGTTTAGTTCTTACAGCTTGCTTCAACTACACACTCACCAGCCCAGACATTGGACTTGCAGTGACTATGCCACAAAAGTCATGATACAATGCTTTAATCCACTAGGACAGAGGCTATTGTCCCATGGGACAATTATGAGTAATGTAAATTAAAAAAATGTTTAATGTACTCATTAAAAATAATAATACTGCTTAGGACGCATTTTTTTACCTATAAAATATCTTCAAAAACCACTGTGTGTCCTATAAATTGATGGTCGATGACACAAGTTAACTTTTCTTCTAATTTTTATATCCTAAATAGTTACCAAAAATTTGCTACTTCTCGGTCTGTAATGAATTTATTATGATTAGTCAGATTTTCATGCTGAAATATTCTATTCAGTTGGTTAAAATTGGGGATAGCAGGGATGGCTATGAAGTACGAGGAAAACTTTTTTTCCAATTTCTTCCTTCAAAATTTGGAAAGTGTCTAATGAAACAGAGTGCCTTATAAGCTGTGAAATACACTAATGTTTATAGTATTGTACTATACAAAAAATAATGTTTATAGTAATCTACCCACTAAAACTAATATTTGCAGTAATGTAACACAATAAAAATTTTTTCTAATATTATAATAGTTTTTTTTTAATTGCTATCACCTCATGCAAGGCAGTAAAGCCACTAAAACACAAGGGGTTACAGGGTGTGGAAGAATTAGGAATAGAAACATTAATGAGTGGAAAGAGAAAAGCGTAATCAGGAGGACAGTAGATAGCAATTGACATTGTATTTAAATTTTTGTAGATTAAAGTTGGCAAGAAAGCATAGAGCTAGAATGGTATTCCACAAGTGAGAAGTGTGAGAAAAGAAAGAGCACAGAATTTATGGCTACATCTAACCAGCTGAACTTTAAACTGATGAAATCTCGACACCAGTCTAATACTGCATTTCAATTCATGAAGTCTAGGTACCATACTGAAGATCTCATCTGAACAATTACCATGAAAGTATTTATAGAAAAGGCACAGAGAAGTAACCTTACAGTGATGGGAGAGAGACTGAAACGAAGCCACCAGATAACAACCAATAATATTGCTGATTTTTCTTTAGATCTTATCAAGGAACTTAAGGTAAATAGCAGGGGCACTGGACCATATATGGCAGCAATATTCTAAGCATGGGTGAATGGTAGACTTATAGATATGTAAGATAGATTCTGGAGAGAAAAATTGTCTCACTGACTTTCATGGCAGCTGACCTAGCAATGGATTCAATATAGTCTTTCCACTTCATGTCAGTTGAGAATGTTAACCCCAGAAAGTGCAATGAATCACTTTCCTGGACTTTAGTATCAGCCATGCTGATGGAAAGCAGAGAGGAAATTTTCAGATGAATTATGGAGAGAAATTTAGTTTTGGAGCGATTAAAATTAACTAGCCATCTTTTGCTCCAGTTATTGATGGACTGTAGATCATTTTGATCATCAGTTGCCATTATGACTATCGAGGCAGGAGTAAATGGTTGTATTGTCAGCATAGATGCCTAGTTGAGAGCTGATGTCATCAGTAATGTCATTAATGTAAATTAAAAACAGAGTAGGACTAAGGATAAAGCCCTGGGGGGGGGCATCTGCATTAGTATGAAAGGATCTAGATGAGTGGCCATTCAGGATAACTTTCATTTCATGATTTAAAAGGAAAGACTGGATCAGTTGAAAAAATGCGTCTGGAGACACCGTAACTTTTCAGCTTGCAGAGATGACTTGTATGCCAAACGCTGTCAAAGGCTTTTGAGATGTCCAAAGCTACAGCCTGGGCATAACCATTTTTATCTAGAGCATGATAGACTCCTCCTGCAATTATTGTCAGTAAATCAACAGTTGACCTGGAGAAACAAAAGCCATATTACTTGTCTGAGAAAAGGCCCTAATACATTTCTTCCATATTCCATCAATGAGAAGTTCCACTTGAATAACTTCTACCCATGAACCACTGCTCTGTGGAATTGACTCACTACAATCTTAACCTGTTCAATTCTAAGGTTAAGTGTTTTCTTTTCCTTCTATCTGGCCTCTTAATCTATCTCAAGTGCCCCACCCACCGGGGTAAACCTTACTGTAAAAAACAAAACAAAAAGTAAAACTCCATTTAAAAAATTACTGTTGTTTATATCTTGGGTACAAAAATGAAGCTAACAGATACAGATTTGTAGATGTCTCAACAAGAGATATACATTCCTTAAATAGGTAATTCAAAGAATACCCTATCAAAATGGTCACCCATGGCAAAATTGCTAGGAGCAACCTTTGGCTGTAGGAGTTGTTTGTCTTATGGAAAAAGGAATACGGGTTCAAATCCTGTTAGGAGAAACAATCTTCTTTAGTAGGACTTCTTGCTCTAGGCCGGTTGATATTAATTTCAGTGTTCAAGAAAATAAAAACAGGGATAACAACTTAAACATGTGTACCCACTAAATAACATTTATAGTAATAAACGTAAGATATGTCGATGTCAGTGTTGATAACAGATACAGAAAGGAAACTGCAGGAACTACAGAAAGTAGTAGAACAACGTTTATAGTAATAAGAAATAGAAAATTATGTATCTTTTTTTTTTTTACTCATTTTGTCTCAAACAAGGCGATAATGCTACTAGGATGCAAGGGGTTACTGAGAGTGAAAGAGAATAAAAAGACTTTAGTGAGAAGTGAGAAAAAGGAAAATAAAAGAACAGGATTTAAGAAGGACATTTCATTTAAATTTTTGAAGATTGTAGGTGGCAGGGTAGCAAGAAATTGGAAAGGGGTACCACAGGCAAGAAGTGTAAGAAAAGAAACTGTTAGAATAGAAGTGGCAGTTGCATCTGGCTAGCTCAACAGTAAAACAGTGAGACCTAATTGCCAATCTAGTAACATGCTTAAATTCATTCAGATGAGACATTAAGGAAAACAGCTCATCAGAACAACTGCCATAAAAATATTTGTAGAAAAGAAGCCATTTCATGTTTGTAGGAAAGTGACTGAAGTTGAGATGCCAGGTCAGGATTGATTATATTGCAGACTCTGCTTTGAATTCTCCCATGAATAATTATAAAAGTCAATAAAAAATTCTTGAGTTTTTTCTCTAAATCCTCTTTTTTAAACTTGTCTTTGTTTTTTTTTATTTTTCAGATCAATCCTTCTTGATATAAACACAAATGTTTCATGCCTAAATTCTCTTCTTGGGAAGCACTATTTAAATAAGGTGAAAATGCAAGACTTGCAAGCTGCCTCAATAGATCATGTGTGGCAAGTGTTCATGCCCCATAGATTGTCGTACAGCAACAGTGGTTACTTAGTTGGTTGGGTGTGGCCAGAAGAACATTTGATTTGCTTGACAGGTGTCATACTCCTGGATGACTATGATGATGAAGGTAAATCATTGGTTGCTATTGACAACGGTGATACTTTTCTTTTTCAGGTTGTTTTGTTGGAATGTTTCAGTTTTTTTTGTCAACGTTACTTATGATTGTTACATATGAACATGTCACATTACACTTACTCTGCCTTGGTATGATGATAAGCTACATTCGGTCATGGGGTATCTAAAAATCCAGAATCCTTTTTCAACTGTAGTCCTGGGTATGACAATAAACTACATCCGGCAGCAAGACCTCTGATCTGGAGATTGGAGATTTTGAGGCACTTGAAACCATCTCTTAATTGCTGTTTTTCCCAGGTTCACCCTGACCCGGGGTGGTAGCACCTGTTAGGGTCCCAGCTATGGGCAAATAGTGAACCTCCAAACAAAGACAACACTATGAAAATATAAAAATACATTTTTATAGTAAAATTACCAGCAATACACTTTTAAATCAAAGTGACCAACAATATAATCTGTAGTTGAAGGCAGGCAATTGCATTCAAAATATTTAGATTTCAACATTAAATAACCCATAGAGGTTGATATGCCATTAAACAAAATCAGCCAAACAACCAACAAGAAAGAACTCTTTTATGACACTAATCTATATAATATCCTATAATTTCCAAACTATAACTTCAACAAAACTACAACATAAAACACATATCACTGCCTCTAGTAATCATGTCCACACAAACATGCACAAAAGCTAAGTATCATCTACCATGTAGTCAATTGTGAAAGCAGAATAACGTATATCATATTTTTATTACATTAAAGCTCACAAAAAAATTTCAGCCTTAAATGACTCACAAGGAGTTGACATGCTGTTAAAGAAACAAAACACTTACTCTGTATATATTTTCTCTGTTTCTTTTTTTGCACTTCTCGCTTGTGGAACTCTCTTCTGGCTTCTTGCATCCCATTCAACTTTGATCTTCAAAGATTTAAATGCAATGTCACTTGTTACCTTCTGTCTTCTCAATTCTTGTTCTTTTAGTGTCTTTTCTCTTTAATAGTATATTTTTCTCCTATTCTCTAACATACAGTAACTGTGTTTTAGTGGCTTTATTGCTTTGCTTGGGGTGAAATGCTTAAAAAAAATACAATATGATTCATGTGTAATGCACAGTCAACTCATAAGTTTCACTGATTTGACTTTTAAAGCTTATCAACATGCAAATACCTTTAGGAAAGGTATGAATCCACCTCTTCTCTCCCCCCCATCTATTATCTGCATGCTTAAAGAAAGAACTCTTTTATGACATTAATCTGTATCATATCCTATAATTTCCAAACTATAATTTCAACAAAACTACAACATAAAACGCACATATCACTGCCTCTAGTAATCATGTCCACACAAACATACATATGCACAAAAGCTGAGTATCATCTACCATGTAGTCAATTGTGAAAGCAGAATAACGTATATCATATTTTTATTACATTAAAGCTCACAAGAAAAGTAAATTTCAGCCTTAAATGACTCACAAGGAGTTGACATGCTGTTACATTTAAATAGAGATTTTCATTATATATATATATATATATATATATATATATATATATATATATATATATACTAGCAGTAAAGCCTGGCGTTGCCCAGGAGTAAACTTCCTCTGAATGGAAAGTAATAACCGCCATACTCATTTTGTACACGCATGTAAGGCTGAAGTCTAGTAGAACTGATGGCCGCCTACATATATAATCTTTCCTTTATATATCCTTCTCAGTTTTTATTCACCTTTTACAATCAAAACATCCAGTTGAGTAAGAGGGACGCTATCTTACATCACTTGATCTTGTTTTCTGCTAGTTTTAGTGTTGTTTTTCTATTTTTAGTATTTTAATATGGTGTAGATTACTGTAGAAATTCCAGTTCTCAGTTGTAACAACTGCTCCAAAGTTAAATTGATCTATGTACTACTAAAATATTACCATAGTCCCCCAATTTGCTATTTCTTTGTGTGTGTGGACCCTAGTAATGTTACATGGACCCCAGTTGAAAACCACTGGAATAGAGGTCCAGTTCCTGTTGGGAGGCACATTTTCCTTTAATAGGATTTCTCAATCAAAATAATTCTTACTTCTCAACAATAGTGGTGGGCTTTTAATAAATGGAACATGCACACATGCTACCATCCCCCACACACAGAAATAATTTAAGCACTTCTTTTTAAACAACTGAATAATACCCAAATGAAAAAATGGTGGTTGAAGGACTTAAATTTAGATATTTCTGTTATCTCTGAATAAGAAAATGTAAATATCTAATTACAAGAATTAATTTGGCTTTAATAACCAAAAATTATATTTTTTTTTATCAATTTTTGGTTAAAAAAAATTTGAATGAACCGTTAACAAACAAGATTTGTTTTCTGCTTTTAAACTAAATTGAAAAAATAAGAAAGAATTTAAAAAATGATAAACAGAAAATTTAGTGACAATGCATTCTTTTTTATATAAAGAATATTATCACATTCCAAAAATCTTTAACAGTAAATTTTCATTTACAATTACCTGCTTTATATTGTAACTAAATTAACAGAAAGATTAATGAACAACATTGAGGTGTTTTTTTTTGCTTATCATAATCTAAATTGAAAATACAAGGGAGAATTTTAAAATAAGTTTGGGAAGAGAAAATTTTGTTACATTGCATTAATTTTTTTTTTATAAGTGGAAAGATGTTATTGAATCCATTGCTAGGTCTATGGAAAAATAAGTGAAATTACCTATGGGTTGCGGTAAAACATGGGAAGCAGAGTGTTTCCCATGCTGGTTTTCCAAAGTGAGGCTGCTCTGAGCTCTGGTTTTTGTAATCATTTTACTGGAATGGTTGAATGCACAGATCTGCCACCTTTTTACTTAAGGCCTCCCTTCCCTCCCTTCACCACTTTTCCCATGTGAGAAGGATTTATGAGAACTGTCGTTCCGTGTGCTCTCTTCTTCTCACATAGATAACTGATCCCTATTTGGATTTGGGTTGTGAGATAGGCAGTGTTTTGCAACACTTACTGTACTGGTATAGCTTCTAGCTACCCTTAGAGTCGAAAGAAATTTTCAACAGGTCAGCTGCTAAGAAAGTTTGTTCACTGTGCCATGATAGACAGTTTTTCTCACCAGAAACTATCCTAAACTATCTAAAAGTCTACCATTCATCCATGCTTAGAATATTGTTGCCACATATGGTCTGGTGTTCCTACTATTTATCTAGAGCTCCTTGATAAAAATCCAAAGAAGAATCAGCAATATTATTGGTCCTGATCTAGCAACTCAGCCTCAGTCGCTTTCCCACCACCATAAGGTTGCCTCCCTGTGCCTTTTCTATAAATGCTTTCACAATAATTGATCGGATGAGCTCTTCACTATGGTACCTAGATTTAAGAATTTAAGCACAGTACTATACTTGTGTCAAGATCTCATCAATTTAGAGTTGCGCTGGCTAGATGTAACCATAAATACTAATGGTTTCTTTTCTCTCACTTCTCGCTTGTGGAACTCCCTACCAGCTCCATGCTTTCCAGCCAACTTTAATCTGTAAAAATTTAAATGCAAGGTCAATTGCTATCTCCTGTCCTTCTTTTGTTCTTGCTTCTTAGTAATGTTTCTGTTTCTAATTCTTCCACACCCAATAACCCCTTGTGTCTTAGTGGCTTTACTGCCTTGCATGGGGTGAACTCAATTTAAAAAAATAATATTAGTACATTCACAATCAAAAAAAGTTATTAAAGTCTTTAACAGTAAATTTTAATTTACAGTTACCTGCCTTGCATTGTAACTAAATTTTCCATTTTTATCATTTGTCAAATTCTGCATTGTGCCAACATCCAAATGTTGATGTTAAAAATTGCTGCAAAACATTGTTGATTTATTTAAGATGGAATGATCTAGGTCCCTAATTTGTATTTAGATACATTGTATTTATTTTCAGTTTTTTGAGTTGAATTGTTCACTTAGATTGTATATGATCCATTATTGTCCATAATTAGATTACAATAAAATTTATATTTTTTTATATATATATATATATATATATCTTACTTATTATAAAATGCAGATTGTGTGTCTGTATGGTTATATATTGGATCGGATTTCCTACATTTTTCAACCAATTTCAACAAAACTTCACAGGACTGTGTAAAATTACCTTGTGGTGGTTCTGACGGCACCAAAAATTGGAAAAACACAATTGTTTTTGCACGAAATCAATTTGAAAACACGATTCTGTCGCCAGAATGAAAGGAGGACAACTCATATCGAGTTATACTTATAAAAACCCAGGTTGTTTGTGTGTGTGTGTGTGTGTTCGTTTATACATGTGATCGGATTTCCTACATTTTTCAACTGATTTCAACAAAACTTCAATTTTTTTTGGCAGGTAGTGTTTCTTATTGTCTTGCACACTTTTTTCTTTATTTTTACATTCAGAATGCTTTAAAAATTCCATTTACAAGACAATTGTTTATAATAAAATTCTATTCAATCAATAGACTCATAACGATTGAAAACAAAAAAACAAAAAAAAAAAACTAATTAAAACATGCGTGTCCGTCAACCTTAAACAATAATCTTTGTCAATTTTATTTTTCAGTCTTTATGATGGTCGATACTTGATCTATCTCTTACTGTTACATCCCCGGGCAACTACTGTTAGTTATATATATATATATATATATATATATATATATATATACTAACTTATGAAAATTGAGATATAGTAAAGTGAAGGGGCCCCATATGATAGATTAGGGCAGGGGAGGAGACACTTGTACTGTCCCTAAATATATATATTTGTATTATTATTATCATTATTCTATCATTATTTTACAGATGGCCTTTGTCAACACTGCTGTGAAGTCAACCAAAAGAAAGAATTACAGGATACGATTCCTCGCATTATTGGGTCTTGGACAGTCAATAAAGATGAAAGAATAGACAGAACTCTGTTTTGCACAAAGAAAGAATGGTTAGAACTGGAACTTCTTCATCCTCACTCTCTGACTGCCAGAGTCTACACAGATCTTACCAAAGACGATTATAGTTGTTCTACTTGCATTTTATTTGATCCTGATGACCTCCAGAAATCTTATTACATTCAGGAATTGGCTCATTCGGAAAGTGACTCACCCCAGCTGACCAGTGAGCTACCTTGCCCAGTTATAAAAATTGTCCAGATGGTTCATAAGCATTCAAGTTTGCTGACCCACTGGGAAAACGACCATTCTATGACAGGCTACTTTATACCAAGCTCATGCCTGGACACTTCTGTTCTCGACTGGATTGCCACCCTTTTTATATTACCTCTTCAGATTCTTTGCTTTTTACTACCAACTTGGCTCTTTCAGTAAGTCAAAAAAGAAAAAAAATGTTTTTTTTTGTATTAATTGTTCACTCAATACAAGGCCCAATAGCCACTCAAGGTAGAGAGTTACTGAAGGAGACTGTTGTACGGATTTAAAAAGGAATTAGGAATTATGATGATATCCAAGAAAGATGGCTTTAGATTTGAAGAGATTAAAATTATAGTGATCAGTGAAGCAATAAGCATTAATACAAACTTGGGAGTTTGTTCCACAAAATTTCATTTCTTGAGAAGAATTTGTTTGAATAGAACTTCCTCCTCACTAATGGAATATGATGGGGATGATTTGTTTTGTGATGTCAACGAACACTCACTTTTTTAATGTCAATGAATACTTGTCACTTTTGTAATGCTCATTGTAGTAGAGACTTTGTAATCACAAATATAACTATAGTAACGCCGTTGACCAATACTGGTGTCAGACGCCTTCAAATAACACTCACACTAATAGTACTTGCTCGATAATACTCGCTCAAATAGTAACCACCGTATACTGATCTGAATAGTAATAGCATAGAGAAGAGAAATAGTGATCCGTATAGTAATAAAGGATAGACTAGAAATGGCAATCCTTTAGATGTTACACAACTTCCTACTTTAATTCCTCTATGGTCATGTGGTCTACTTATTCAATAATGGGATCGCCTGTGTTTGCTCACTGGTGATCTATGTTCAAACTCAAGTGTCGGCAGTGACACTTTATTAATATATAACAATTTGTTGCAGTCTTGTGATAGTCTAAACAACCGATTCTCACTTGGTGTGCTCGAGTGCACTAATACCTCCTGAAAGGTAGCCAGGTGCACCACGAGTTAACAGAAGAATAATTTATGAATTCTTTTTATTTTTAAAAAGCTGGAGACAGAACACATACCTAAGTCAAATCTTTGTCATTTGATATTTTAAACTGGATGCTATAATTTGTTAATCTTTAAGAAGGAGTGGATAACCCTTTCCTTTTTGCCTTTCTCAAGGCTTAACATATAAAGCATAACATTAAAAAAATTACCAAAAGCACATCAAGCACAGATTTCACACAAATTGGAAAGGTTGGCAAAACATCAGCCAATAGTGTTTTATTATGTTTAGGTTTTATTGCAATTCTAATCATCCCTTTTTAAAACAAGAAACATTGCCAAGAAGTGAAGGTAGTTAAAATAATAGCAGTGTCAAAGGAAAAGCCATCTTTTTGACTTTCTGTTTTTTTTTTGCAGGTATGAACGTCTAAGTTTGGCAAATCTTTTTATTTAAAAAGCTAGACACCAAGCACAAATCTTTCAAATCTTTGTCGTTTGATATTTTAAACTGGATACTAAATACCTTAATCTTTAAAAAGGAGTGTATAATCCTTTCTCTTTTGCATTACTTGGGGTGGGGTTAGCCCTTTTGTTGCAGAAAATGGATATATCTACTCAAAATTTTATTGCCATTAGAAAGTGGATTTACCCCATGGCTTTGATATTTTAGTTTTTTCTTTGGTGGATAATTAACATCATTAAAGAGAAAGACCTTGAAATTTAATTTGTGGAGAGTCGTGATTACCTTTGAAATTTAATAAATAGATTAAATTAGTCATTATCGGCTTCTTGAAAAAATAGCAGATTCTTCATAAACCCTTTTAAAGGCTAATCTTCTTTGGGAATGCTTATGTAAAATTTCCTTTTTTCAAATTTCATGACTAATTTTTTTTTAAATTTCAAGTGTGACCCAGACTTTTAGTTATTGTACAAGTGTGCCCTTAATTAAAAGGTTGCCTTTTTCTCCCCAAAAATAGTTTTAAAAAATTGCCAATATCTTAAATGTGAAGTTGAGGTCACCTGTGGGGTAATTTTATCACCAGTACTCACTTATTTTACGTCCTATAGACCTTTAGCACGTAATCATGGCTCTCCACAATTTCCTTTATTTAACCTGGTCAGTTAATACTTACCTCATTTCCACTGAGTCCAAGTACACACTCACAATCATCAATTCACAAACCAACCCACTAGGCTATTGTTTCATGGGACAATCCTGAGTGAAGAATTTAGAGACTTAAATCTAATCTGCATGTCATGCTTGAGTGCACATATCAAATCTTCTCTTTTCTAGTGTGGATGCTGCTACTGCTGCTTTGCTGTCATTTCTCTTTCTTTATTAATGTCTCCGATATTGTATTTATTTCTATGCTAGGTCTACTGAAGAGGCCCTAATAGTTTTACTACAATGATTCCCAACACTGGATGCTTGCCCCACCAGTGTAGCTTGGTAATATTTTGGTGGGGCATGCGTAGGACGTGCACCCTTCGGCTTACTATACCAACAGAATAAGGAGGCAATTAGAGAATGAGTTATTAACAGTGAACTGTTTTCTAGTGAGTTTGAGTGAGAGTGTTAATTTTAATACATACGATGCATATACAGTATGCATACATAAAAATATTTTGTGTGTATGTATGTACATGTGTAATTAGCATACAGGGTATTTCCCGTCTCCCTACTCTCACCTGTATTGGTCAACAAAGGAGAGAGCCTGATGCATGTCGCTGGAAGAGCCTATGTTTTGTTGGCCAATCAGCGTGTGTGAGCATTCAGTTTGCTTGCTTCACATGAGTTGCAGTAAAATTTTGAATATGTAAGAATTAAATATTACAGGGGGTGGGGCACCAGAATTTAGAAATACCAAAGTGGCGGGGGGGGGGTCCAAAATTGGTTGGGAACCATTGCTTTACTGGTATTTCCTTTCAGTTATGTCTCTTTCTTCTGTAGTTTCCAGGAGTGTGATAGGAATATGTTGAGGCATATTAAGGTATGATGGATCAATTGGTATTGACAACTCTGCGATCTTTGTTATGATAATTCCTTTTAAAGTATTGTTTTTGCTTATCTCGTTTTAACTAACACTGAGTAATATTTTCTAATTTACTCATAGTTTGCTTTAAACATTGCATAAAATTCTATATACTGAATATACTTTAGTATCTGTCTATAATTCTGAGATGAGGTATTATGTACACTATTTATATTATTTGGACTATTGTCCTCATCTTTGTCGCCATATTTTTTTTTTTTTGCCCATTGTATGCTCAGGCCTTCTTGTATGCCCACGTTTTGCCCATTGTATGCTCAGGCCTTCTTTATTTTGCTCATTGGGGTAGACTGTTCTAGTTCCACGTGCCATGTTTAATGGATGTCAGTTATCAGTTATCTCCTGTTAATTCCCCTCTGCAAGTTCTCCACTGCCTTAACCAGGTATTGAACTCACACTCTTTGGGTCCTGTCACTGAATCTAACTAATGCCTTTATCCACTGTGTCATGTGTCCTTGATTAAAAGCTGAGTATCATCTACCATGTATTCAATTGTGAAAGCAGAATAACATTTTTATTACTTCAAAGTTCCCCAAAAATTAAATTTCAACATTAAATGACCCATAAGGAGTTGATATGCCATTAAACTAACAAATCAAATACAGTTATACAATAAACATCATTTAACAGTTGAAATGGCTAGATGTAACTGTAAGTTCTATGCTAACAGTTTCTTCTCTCATACTTCTTACTTGTGGAACTCTCTTCCAGCTTCTTGCTTTCAAGTATCAAAAATTTAAATGTGTTTTTAGTCATTATCTTCTATATTTTTAATTCCTGTTCTTTGATTGTGCTCTCTCCTTAATAGTGTTTCTTTTTTTCTCATATTCCCTAACACTCACTAGGCTCTTGCGTTTTAGTGGCTTTATTGCCTTGCTTGTTGTGAAACGACTAACAAAAAATACATTATTACAAAATTTTCAAAAATTCTTTTGCTGATTATCTTTTTAAAAAAGAAATTGTATATTTTCCTGTTTTTTTTTTAAAAATTTACAGTGTCAGTAATGAACACATGAAGAAGATTTTATCGGCTCCAGCTTTTATGCGTGTGCTACAAGCAAAACATTTCCAGATCCGGCCTCATCTTCAGGGAAAAACAAAATCTCCCCTAAAGAAACTGAGGTATGTTATTTTGAAAATGGTTCATACATAACATTAATATGACGAGATTTAATTTTGTAAATCATTAATAGTGTTAATATTGGGCACTATAAAAATTAATTGGTCCATTCATAAAAAAATTCCACTCATAAAAATTATGGAAATTGAGAATTAATTTTTTTAGATTAACATTCATTAGACTTTCTTAGGCCACACAGAATCGAAAAATATTGATTTGTTATCAATTTAGAAGGGGGTAGTTGTTCATAATATATGAAAGCAGACTTTTTATAGATGTTTTTTTTTTTTTTTTTTACTAATGATCACCCAACAATAGAAGACCCAAAAGCCACTCAAGGTAGAGGGTTACTGTGTAGAGTTTTATTAGCCTTAGAAAGGGCAAGATAAGAAAGATAGACAGCTAATTCCAGACATGAAGAGATCAAGATTTAATTAGCGAATAAAAATTTAGAGTTCAGGGATGTTAGGAGTATAGGGTCAAAGTAGACTTTAGAAAGAAACGGAAACCCAATCCTAAACAGGAAACAAAGGATAAACCTCTACTCCTGTTCAGAAGACTGGATTATAGGGTTACAGAAAGATTTCTCTTTTTTTTCTTTTTTTTTCTTTTACTAATGTTCACCCTATACAAGGCCCAAGAGCCACTCAAGGTAGAGAGTTACTGAAGGTGATTGTTGTATGAGCAGTAAGAGTAAGGTGTGCAGTTTATTTGGGAATTATAACTGTTAACCCTAGATTTGAAGTGGTTAAAGTTGCAGTGGTTGGGAAAGCATCCTCTTGGGATTCTGTTCTACAAAGCAACAGTTCTTGGGAAGAAGCTATCCGAGTGAAACTTACTTATGATGAAAGGAATATAAAGGTTTGCCTCAATGTATGCACAGCAGCAGGTCTTAGCTGGAAGAGTTAGAGTTGGGGGAAATAAGGAATGTAGCTTGTCTAAACATTTTCCATGGAAATAGCAGTAGGGCAGCGAAAAGCTTGCAATGTTTTGTCTATGGGGGGAAAAGGGTTGTATGTTGGAAAACCATTCATCACCCAAAAAGCTGTATACATGGTTTTGAATGTTTTTATCCTAGATATAGTAGCATTACTCCATTTTTTACAGTCTGATCTGGCTCTTGTAAAGGTAGGGCATAGTAGGAGGAGTTTGGTATTTACTGGAGGAGTACACGGAACTGACCATTTTTCCAGTATCTCTAGCAATGGAGCGTCCCATTTGAGGTCTGAGGTGAGTTTAAGTCTCAATAGGCGTTCAAGACAAGAGGCCTCTTTGAGAAAACGCCCATACATTGTAATATATGGAAATTTAGGGGCCACTTAAATAATGGACAGATATATACATTTTTAATTAAAGAATAAAAATTTGCATAAATTTAATAAAATTATGCATCCATTTATTCTTAATTTAAGATAAATAATTATGAACCACAAATGTGCATGTGCTTCTAAAAAAAAGTCCCATAAATGTGCATGTGCTTCTAAAAAGAAAGTTTTTAAAAAACATTTAAAGAAAGTTAAAAAAATTCAAAATGTAAAAATTTGCAGATATCACTGATGTGATTTCAAACTGATACATTTTCAAACTTGACATTTGACATTATTGGTCCTGACCTGGCATCTCAGCTTCAGTCATTTTCCCTGTACCTTTTCTATAAATACTTTCATGGTAATTGTTCTGATGAACATTCCGCCATGGTACCAAGATTTACTAGTACTAGATTGACAGCAAGATCTCATCAGATCACAGTTGAATTGGCTAGATATAACTGTAAGTTCAATTCTAACAATTTCTTCTCTCACACTTCTTGCTTGTGGAACTCTCTTCCAGCTCCTTGCTTTCCAGCCAACTTTGATCTTCAAAAATTTAAATGCAATGTCAATCATTATCTACTGTCTTCTTGATTTGTCTTCTTTTATTGTTTTTGCTTCTCAATAATGTTTTTCTTTTTTCTTATTCTTTCACACTCAGTAACCCCTTGTGTCTTAGTGGCTTTACTACCTTGCTTGGGGTGATATAATTAAAAAAAAAAACAATAGTGAAGTGGCTTAACCTAGGCTAGTAGCTCTTCAAAATTAAAGATCGATTTGACATTGTTTCAATGTTATAAACAGCAGACACCACTTCTAGAACAATAGCAAATATTGTGTTACAGCCTAAACAACAAAAATAATTTCCCTAAAAGATTTTCTCTAATTTTTATGAGTAGGACCAGTTTATTAAAGTAGTGTCAAGATTTGACTACATATCCAGGACATTATTCTTAATTTTTAACTAGCCTCACTTTCATCTCATTTGTTTTGCTGTTTATTACAACTCTCAAGTGATGATTCTGCAATACTTCTGAAACAGTCACTGTCAGTAAGTTTGCAAGTCCGGCCCAAATTGCTATGGTTGCTAGAGGTCTTGCCCTGTTTCTCGAATTGCATCAGTGTTCTTGATATGGTAGCTCTTGAAAAACCAAACAGTTCAGCAACCTTAGTGATCGAGGCTCCTGCCATGCGAGCTCCAACAATTTGCTCTTTTTCGAACTTGGAGAGGTCACGCATTTAGCTTAAATTTTACTAAATTCTAAAAATAAATAAGACAAAGACAGTAAATTAGATAAATAAATATATTTACAATAGATATAAACTGCAATTACAAAGTTTTAGTTAAAGTTCTTAATATAATAGGTCTTTGAAATATAGGAGTGGATTTTACAACTGTTCCAATTATTTTGTCCAACCCCTGTACAGTAGGGCAGGTTGATTTTTCACTTTTTTTTTAGAAAATCAACATTGCACTCAGTGTGAAAGCAAAGGTTTCACTGACACCAAAAATTAGATTCATGGCACTTTTTCATGCCATTTTAGATTAATCACACCAGATCATGAATATAAAAAACTTTTTCATACCATTTTAGATTAATCACACCAGATCATGAATATCAAAGAAATTGTTTAAATATCAGCTCTTTAAAAGTGCAAGTTTATAGAAATACTTGTAAATAAGTTGTTTGAACTCATTATAAAATCAAGAAACTCAGAAGTAAATATCATAAGTAAATATGAAAATCATGGCTCTCCAAACTTCCTATCCTTCATAACTCTTAGCAATGTGTGGAGAAATTGGCCATGGTCAAGTGTAATTGGCAAAAACACTCAACAAACAGAATAGACAAAGTTATCAATAAAAAAAAAAAAAAGGAAGAAAAAACAACAGAGTGAAATAATACGAAGCAAACAATGTATATGCAAGTCAAAATTAGGCAAGGCCACAGAAATAAGGTAAAAAGTTCACAAAGTAAGAATGGTATTCAAATGCAAAAGGGATACAGTCAAGTGATTGTAGCATTCTGATTTCAAGTGATGATTCAGCAATACTTCTGAAACAGTCTGGATTAAAAATAAATGGCTTTATTATCTTTTACTGGACACACGGTTCTGGAGGAAGACACTGACTTAAATAAAATAGTTGACTAAATGGAATTGATAAACACATGTACAGTAGGGCAAATTGATTTTTCCCTTTTTTTAGAAAATCAATATTACGATCAGTATGAAAGCTGGGGTTTCACTGACACCAAAAATTAGATTCATACCTTTTACCAATTTTTAAGCATTTAGTTTTAAAGATCGTCTGAAATACCTAATCTCTATAGATTTTAGCTTACAAACTGACTTCAAAATTTTACCATTTCATGAATAAATTCAAATAATGTTGATATTTGTTGTATTAAATTCATTGAATGGAAAATATATTCAATCCCTAATTCTAATTATGAATCACCACTAATTATGAATTACTGTATTCAATAAGTAAAAACTAAAAAAAAAAAAAAAAAAATTGAAGGTGAACTGCTATCTTACTAACTTCCAGCCACAGAAAAAAGACACTTACTTTGACTGCCTGACAATGTCGGCGACTACTGACTCACTGCTGGTTCTTTCCTCACTGACTGCTGACTTCCTGACTTATTATATAGACACTGGCTGGAAGACCCACCACTTCTATCTGTCCACTTGTGTTCTGGAAAAAAAAGAGACACCCATTCAGTTTTTGGGTGGACAGTTTTTCAAAGTACTCTACTTTTATCATTTTCTAAAATCACTAACAAAATTTTATGTTTGCCAATTCAAAGGTAAGCTGGAAGCAGGAATCCTGAAAATTCCTGGTCTTTAAACTAACTTAAAAGGAAAAAGAATCTATCTATCTATCTATCTATCTATCTATCTATCTATCTATCTATCTATCTATCTATCATCTATCTATCTATCTATCAAGATGTGTGAGAAATCATATTGCTACACTAGATCTCATCATTTTGCAGATGAAATTCCTAGATATAACCATAAATTCTACGCTAAATAGTTTCTTCTCTCACACTTCTCACTTGTGTAACTCGCTTCCAGTCTCTGGCATTCCAGTCTACTTTGGTATTCAAAAATTTAAATGCAATGTCAATCATTATCTTCTGTTTTCTTAATTCCAGTTTTTTTTTTATTTTTCTCTCCGCTTAATAATGTTTTCTTTTTACATATTTTTTCACACTTGGTAACCCCTTGCATCCTAGTGGCTTTATTTCCTTGCTTGGGGTGAAATGATAAAAATAAAAAATCTAAGAATAACAACTAATAATTTAAATAAGATAAACCTTGTTTATTAGTGTGTTAAGTCCACCTTCAATAAACAATTATATTTGACTCAATTACAATTAACAGTAGATAAAGTAGTAACAATAGTCCAATTATGTTAACTCAATTGTTCAGGTGTACTTGTCAAAATATTCTGATAAGTTTGCATCACTATTTTAGTCAATCAGGCTTTTTCCAAGACAATACCAATAAGGTATCACTTTTGTTTTATTCTGTTTAGACAACTCTTTTATTCAAGTTGTTTTCTTCCTCCAGAACCTTGGGCCCAGTAAATGGGAGTCAGGCTTTTTTCCTCCTCCACCCTTATCTTATGCAAGGTCCAGGAGAAAGAAAACAACGTGACTAAACCACTTTACTAAAATTGG